CAAAGCAGTATTTTAAAAAAGAAAAGAAAATAGGGAAACATAACCACAAAGAGAAAAAACCAAAATGGGTAGAAACAAATGTGACCCGATAGAGAGCAGCAGGCCCACCCTTGACAGGTGAGTCTAACCAGCACTGGAAAACCAGTTGCCAGAAACTTCCAAAGGGGAGGAAGGCAAGAAGCACGCCCTGCCGCATCTCAGGGGGCGCCCCGGGCGGGCCTCAAAGCCACGGAGGCACAGCAAGAGAGGAGTTTTGGCAGGGGCATCCCTGAGGAGCTGGGGGACTCTGTCCCCCAAACACTGATCCACCCGGGGTTCCCAAGGTGCTGGGCCCAGGCAGAGTCCGGGAGCAGGGGAGCTCCTGGGACTGGGGGCGGGGGTTGCCTCTGAGGTTCACTGCCCTCTCTGCCTTCAGCTCTTCCTTTTCCATGGTCCTCTCGGGGACGCGCAGACACCTACACTTTGCTCCCCGGCTCCTTTTTTAGGCCACCGAGGGGGGTTGAGCCAATGACTAAACTGGGGTGATGCCAGTGAAGTAGGGTCGGCCTGGGCCTCATGGGATCAGTTGGCTTTGTTAGCAGATGACTAGCAGGGAAACTCATTTCAGTCGTGCAGAAAGAGCGTTAGGGAAAGGGCCTAACAACAGTCAAAGGAAAGTGGGTTGGGGGGGGGTTGTAATATTCTAACAAACCAATCGGAGAAGAACTTTTCTGTGTTTCTCTTTTTTTTTGCCTTTTCCTTTTATCGGTACCAGGGATCGAACTCATGACTTCTTTTTGTTTCTTTGAGATGGGGTTTCACTATGCAGTTCAGGCTGGCTTTGAACTCACAGTGATCCCCCTGTCTCGGCCTCGCCAGTGCTGGGATTGTAAGTGTGTGCCACCACATCCAGCTAGCAAAAAACAGATTTGAAATAACATCATGAATATCTGATGAGGAACTAGGTTTAAGTGACATTGAGAAGTCTCACCCACTGTGAAATGGAGTTTGTGTTCCGTGGGGAAATGTGCCTGCTTTTAGGAGAGGTTCCTGAAGGCTACAGGGGCCGCAGCTCAGCTTCTGGGCTCTGGTTTAAAAAAACTGCCGCTAAGGAACACAGAAAGAGACAGGCAGCAAACTGGGAAAAGATCATCATAATTGCTCGATCTGGCCGAGGCCTCTCCAGCTGTTCATTGTGTCATGAAGACTATAGGTTTTGGGAGGCTGAGGCAGGAGAATCGTTTGCAAGTTTGAGACCAGCCTGGGCTACAAAGTGAGGCAAAGGCCAGCCTGAACTGCATAGTGAGACCCTGTCTCAAAAAGATTAAAAAAAAAAAAAAAAAAAAAAAAAAAACACGGTAGGAACTCTTTTGTGATGAAAATAAAATCAGTAAGACAGAATTTTACTTCCCTGTCAGAAATTATCAGTGATACCCAGGTGGCCAGCAAGAGGCAGGTGGGAATTGTCTGCCTCCCTCTGTAGACCTTGCCAGGCTGGTGGCCAGCTGCGACCAGCCGTGGGGAGGATTTCTCTAGTTGCTAAGGGCAGGTCTTCCAGCTGACTTGTGACCGCCCCCAGACACTCTGGGGTCTGCGGCCTTGCGTGAGACCTGGGGCTCCGTCCTGCGGGCCCAGGAAGCAGGATGCCCACTAGATCCTCTTCCTTCCTTTGGGGCTGGTATGGCTGCAAGGGGTGGAGGGAGGGGATGGGCCATCTGACCTGCTGACAGAGGAGCTGGGGCCAGGGCTTAGTGGGCGCATTCCTGCCACGCTGCACAATGCCCGTCACCCTGCCACGCTGCATTTCCACCCTGGGGCCCTGGAGTGGAAAATCGGGCGCCTGGGCCTTTGTGCAGGGTGGCAGACTGCTGGCGTCGTGGGAATCCTCTCTCACAGCCAGTGTTGCCTTTGCGGTCAGTGAGGGGGTGGGGGCTGGAATGCTGAGGAAGCTGGGGGATAGGAGGGGAGCTGGGAGTGTGTGTCACGCATCACACACCACAGATGCCTCTCACATACATGCACACACCTGTGCTCCCTGCATGTGCATTCGCCTTCACTGTGCACACAAAGTGGGCCCGTGCTGGCACTGCAGCAGGCCCTTCCCAGAGCGCTGGTCACGGTTTCCCTTATTTCTCTCATAAAACAGTGAACGACCAGAAGAGGCCACGGTCAGACCCTGTCTGCTCTCCGATGGGCGGCAAGACCTTCCGGGCCCCCAGGGGATGCCGGGGTCTGTGTCCAGCACTGGGTGCTGGCATCTCCAGCTCTTCCGTCCTGAAGAAGAGCCCACTGCCCAGGGTGACAGGAAGGAAGCTTTGCCGCCTGCAGCGTGGCAGGGCGAAGTTTCTTTTCTTTCCTGAGGGTCCCACAGAGGTTCCTTCCTCACTAGAGGTTTCTAGCAAAGCTGGGATTCTATTTTGTTCTTGTTCCGCAAGATCTCACTCCTTTTCATCCCAAGGAAGCCCTTCCTGGCTCTCCTTGGCGTATCTGAACGACCAGTGTCACTCCTCTTCAGTCTGGGGCCGTCGTTAAATGGAGCAGGTGTCACCTGAACACAAGCCGTGGGCTCTGATCATCGGAGCCTGCTGAGTAACTAAGGGACAGAGAGCGTACACAGCGTGCTTGCAGGAACATCGGTGCCTGGATGGGGCGGAAAATGAGACCCCATCAGGAGAGCATGTTTAAAACATAAATTTGCTGGTCCACTGTGCCTGGCCTAGGGTGTTGGGGTAGACAGGGCTCACGCAGTATAAGTCAAGGAATGGGGCCATGTATGATGGTGTTCACCTGTATCCCAGTGCTTGGGAGGCTGAGACAGGAGGGTCATAGATATGAGCCCAGCCTGGGCTATTAAGTGAGAACTTGTCTCCAAAACTACAAACAGATGAACTACTGATCACCGACTTTAAGGTAGAGAAGGGACCCTGAGTTATCCAGGTGGCCCAACATAATCACGGGGTCCACACCAGAGGGGTGGGAGTGTGACAGAGAGGGCTGTGGTGTGAGAAAAACCCAGGGTTCATGCCCCTCCGGGGCAGGGACAGGGCCAGGAGCTACCAGCTGGAACTGCAGGAAACTGACTGTCCCCACCCACGTAGGTACAGCTCCACAGAGCCTTCAGTGTAGCCCCCGGCCCCACATCAGATGCACTGCTTCCAAGGTGCCAAGAAGATACTTTTTTTGAGGTGCCCTGGCAGACTCACAGCCTGGAGCCTGCCTGCACCCCAGCCTAGGGGCACCAGTGTGGGGGCAAAGCAGGTGCTCCCCTCCATGCCTTGCATGGAGAGGGCTGCACAGGGCGCAGGTGTCTTGGGGCAGCAGCTGCAAGGCAAGGCTGACGATGCTCCTAAGGAACTCGAGCACCCAGTCTAAGGGGAGAGGTGTGGATCACTACCTTCTTTGCGCTGGCCTGGGGCCTGGAGCTCAGGACCGCTCCGCCTAGCACTGGTCCAGCCGGGCTTCTCCAGGGAGGGGTCAGTGGCTGGACACTGCTCCCAAGGGGCAGCCTCTCCCCGTCCTGGGCATCTGGGATGGGCAATCAGCGCCGGGTGCCAACCCCACCCTGCCCGGGGCCCCTGTGCTCTCAGGTGTTGGCCAAGGCCCACAGGCAGCCTGAAGCTGCTTTCTCCTTCTTCCAAGCCAGAGTGCCCAGCTCAACCTTTCCAGCCCTCTGGAAAGGTTGACTAAAGAGTGACCCTGGGATCTGTCGCCTGGGGTGGCCCAAAGAACCACGAGGCAGCAGGCAGCAAGCGTTAAAGGGAGGCCCGGGGTAGGGGAGGCCCTTGCTGCTCCCAAGCACTGATGATCTGCACCCTAAAACTGGCTGCCAGAACCCTGAGAAACGACTCCTCTGAAATGGTGAAGGGGCACAAGGGCCACATCAGGCCTTTTTTAGTACCAGAAATCGAACTCAGGACCTTGTGCTTGCCAGGCAGATACTTGTCTGCTGAGCTAAATCCCCAGCCCCACATCAAGATTTTGTTTTTAATATATATATTTTTATCACTTGGCCAGAGCCATGCACAAAGGTGGTGTTCAAAACTGCAGGGGTGGGGGCACATGGCACTGTTGGTGACGAGGAGCCGCTTGCAGAACGGCCCGCAATTCTGGTTTCAACACTGGCTCCATCCCGATGTGTCCATGCGATCCTCCTCACAGCCTGCTCCATCTGTGGCCAGTGGAGAATTTGCAGGGGCTTTGGAGTGTGCTGGGGTGCATGTTCATCCCACTGCCATGACCTGGGTGCCAGGAAGCAGCTGGACGAGGAACCAGGAGGCACAGGGCGACTTCTCAGGGTCTGGGTCATGCAGGCAAAAGCCAGCCGGAGACGGAGGCACAGTGTGCCTTGCAGGTGTGAATTAGCTGCCCCCAGTCAAGCTACTGAGAATTTTACCACTACAAGCCCTTACTGGTGTCTCCTTTTATGTTCTTCCTGAGATTTCTGCAAGTGTTTGTAAGCTTCATGGTCAATAAAGCTGTTTTTTTTTTCTTTTGAGGAAGGGTCTCGCTGTGTAATCCAGACTTGAACTCACTGTGGAGTCCAGGTTGTCCTCAAGTTTGTAGCAATCCTCCTGCCTCAGCTTCCCGTGTGTTGGGGTTACAGGCTCGAACTACCCTGCCGGGCCTGCAATTCTGCTTTTGAGAAACAGCACCCTCTCTCTGAGAAGCTGCTATGAGATTTGGGGGCTGATGGTCTAACTTCTGTGATTCAGTTTCTCTGTCCGGGGAGCAGGGTGATGAGTGCCCCCTCCTAGTATGCCTGTGAAGACCACTCAGGATAAAGTGTGCGAGAGCTGAGGCTCGTCGTGGTCCCCGGCGGTGAGGGTAGGGGACAGAACTCCTCGGGGACAGCTGTCCTGCCTGTGGCCCCAGGCTGGGGGAGGAGACGCCCAGCCCAGCCAGGCTATGCTGACACTGCAGCTCCCTTCCTGAGCTCAGGCATTTTCAGAGAAAGCCCTTAATGCTCCCATTCTGTCCGGGCGTATATAGGCAGGGCCGGCGCCCAGCTCCTCACTGCGCTGCCCAGAGGCCCCTGCTCGACTCGTGGCCTGCCTCCGTTCCCTGCAGCTGAAGCAGACATGGACGTGACCATCCAGCACCCCTGGTTCAAGCGTGCGCTGGGACCCTTCTACCCCAGCCGGCTGTTCGACCAGTTCTTCGGTGAGGGCCTCTTTGAGTACGACCTGCTGCCCTTCCTGTCCTCCACCATCAGCCCCTACTACCGCCAGTCTCTCTTCCGCACCGTGCTGGACTCCGGCATCTCTGAGGTAAGGCCCTGTGGCGGTGCCGGCTTCTCTCAGCCGGTCAGGGAGAGGACTGTCAGGGATGTCCCCGGGGCCACCGATGTCCCCAGAGCTGGTAATGTGCAGAGGCCAGGCGGAAAATGCCTGCACCACTGGGGAGAGGTCGGAGGAGGACGCCAGCCCGAGTCCGACGCTGTCTTTTCCTCCATCAGCTCATGACCCATATGTGGTTTGTAATGCACCAACCACATGCTGGAAACCCCAAGAACAACCCTGCCAAGGCAAGTTGATGGCACAGGCGAGCTCCTGAGGCTCGCAGCTCCCAAATTTTCTCTTCTGGGATCAGGTGGGGTTCACTACCCTGAGATCCGGAGAGGAGAGGCTTCTTGTTCCTGCAGCATGGGCTCTTGCAGCAGAGGCTGTGGGCTCTACTGAGGTCACCCCAATGCCCCAGCCAAGGGCACTGAGAGGCCACGAGGCCACCTCCCTCCCTGCCCTTGAGCTGTGGCCACAAGGCCAGGCCTCAGTTTTGTGGTGGCCAAGCGTCACCACTGCCTGAGAAGCAAAGGCTCCCCCAGCAGGGACACGGTTTCCAGGGAGGAAGGTGCTTGGAGGGAGGCCCTGAGCTCAGTCAGGGAGCGGAGGGTGACAGGACTTGGTGGCCTGCCACTGGCTTTGCCACCATGGAGAGATGGCTGTGGGGCTGCTGATGGAGGCAAGGGGAAGCAAGGACAGTTACTTACCGCTGGCCAGACAGCTCGCTGCTGAGGGGCGAGCAGCCATGAGCAGCCCCCAACCAAAACTAAACAGCTGCCAACCCACAAGGAACTACCCAACCGATAAGTAACTAGCTAGCCCACCCATAACCAAACCAACAAGCTAGCTAACCCTTCACCAGCCATCTAGCCAACCCATGACCAACCAGCCAACCAAGCCATGGCCTATCAGATAGCCAATCTATAAGCAACCAGCTAGCCAACCCATCACCAACCAGCTAAAAACCCATCAGCAACTAGTTAGCCAACCCATGACCAGCCATCTAGCCAGCTCAGATAACCAACAAGCTAACCTACTCACGGACAATCGGATAGCCAACCATTAGCAACCAGCTAACCAACCCATCACCAACCAGCTAACCAACCTATCACCAACAGCTAGCCAACTCACCAGTAACCAGGCAGCCAGTGACACCAGAAAGCCAACCCGTGAACAAGTAGCTTGCCAAACCAAAACACCAGGCTGACTCATAACAGGTCAATAAATTCACTTACCGACCAGCCATCTGACTTGTAAAAAGCAACCCAGCTCAGTTAGCAAGCCAGCCAACCCAGGGCGAGCCCAGTCAGCCAGCTCCCTCACCAAGCAGCGGGCAACCTCCTACCACACAGGCTCTGGTCGGCATTTCCCACCCAGGGACCCAGGACCCAGGGACCCAGGGGCCCAGGGACCCAGGGACATAGGACCCAGGGACACATTTCACAGGGGCCCAGGGACACAGGGACCCAGGACCCAGGACCTAGGAACCAGGAGCACGGTCCCAGCTGGAATGCTCTTTGCGCGGCAGCCCCATGACCGGCGGGACCTGTCCTAGTGGGTGGGGACTGAGCTCTGGAGCAGCCGCCTGCCCAGCAGGACCATATGTCCGTGCCCTGCCTGAGCCCTGGGTATCCTGAGAACTCCACACGGGGCTGGGTTTCAGGTCCGATCTGACCGGGACAAGTTCGTCATCTTCCTGGACGTGAAGCACTTCTCCCCCGAGGACCTCACCGTGAAGGTGCAGGAGGACTTCGTGGAGATCCACGGCAAACACAACGAGCGGCAGGTGAGCTCGGGGTCTGGGCAGGGCGGGGAGGTGACAGCAGCACGGCTCCGGGGTCCTGATGGCCCTTCCCCATCTTACCGCGTCCCGGGCCGTCCCCAGGATGACCACGGCTACATCTCTCGCGAGTTCCACCGCCGCTACCGCCTGCCCTCCAACGTGGACCAGTCGGCGCTCTCCTGCTCCCTGTCCGCGGACGGCATGCTGACCTTTTCCGGCCCCAAGGTGCAGTCCGGCCTGGACGCTGGCCACAGCGAGCGGGCCATCCCCGTGTCGCGGGAGGAGAAGCCCAGCTCGGCGCCCTCGTCCTAAGCCGGCCCCGCCCCGGCTGCCCCTGCGGCCCCGCCCCGCCCCGCCCCGCCCGGGACCACAGGGAAGGCGTCCGCCCGCCTTTCTTCCCCTTCTCTGTTTCCTTTTCACCTTCTCAGAGGGAATGAGGGTTTGAGAGAGTGGCCCGGAGGCTTCGGGGCCTTGTCCTGCGGTGCCACAACCTTAGGGGGCTCCAGGCCCAGCACCAGCCAGGAGGCAACAGCGACTGCCCCACGCAGTTCTCCAGCTGGGGCCTGGTCCCCCCCGGGGGTGGGCAGGAGCAGGGGTGCTCGCCCCAAGCAGAGCCCTTGCCAGCCATCTGGGGGGGGGTCTCGGGTTCTAGCAGCCCCTCTGCAGGTCCTGACGGTGCCGCCCCAGGGGCCGCAAGGTCTGGGGCGCCGGGGCTTCCGGCCTGCTCCCTCACTCTGTCTTCCCGCACCCTTCCTCTATGTAGTACCGCTCGGGGTCTCTGGTCCCAGGAGAACGCAGCCATGGCAGCCAATAAAGAGCAGGTGGCACAAGCAATCTCTGTCTGGTGGTGTTTTTCCTGTGGGGATGCTGGGGGTGTGGGCTTGCCTGGACTGGAGAGTTGGCCACCACAGTTGCGGGGTGCCAATGGGGTCCTTGGGAGCAGTGCCACAGGGCCCTGCCCGCCCGTCGGTCAGGGAAAGGGTCCTGGGTCCGGGAAGCTGAGGTTGCAGGGTTAAGTGTGGCCACAGAGTGTGCGCCATCCTCTCCTGGAAGAAAGTAGACGGGAATTTCAGGGGGGACCACTGCTCTCCTCAACCAGAGGGGCTTGCCATCTCAATGACCAGCATCGCACACTCCACGTGCTCATCAGTCCTCCACACCACATGTGTGCACATATGCACACACGCTTCTCATGCCTGAGGCTTCCCTATTGTATTGGGATGGCCTCCAGCGCAGAGAGGCTCCCTGGGAAATTCCCTGGATTACTGCCCCTTTCCTGGGACCTCTGTGAGCAGCCACCACACCTCGGGCTGGGGCTGGGACACAGGGCTGGGGGCTGGGGGTGAGGCCAGTGTGACTGCAGACCTGGTGTCTGCCATCCTGTGTCCCCTGCAGCTCCTGCTTGCACCTTGTTTAGTCCTGAATGGTCTTCCCCAAGTTAGATGCTAATGCCCTGACCCCAGCCCCTCAGAAAGTGACTGTGGGCAGGATCTTACAGAGGTGATCAGGTCAAACGAGGGCACTGGGCTCCTTATGGGAAAGGGGGATGAGGTGCCCAGAGGATGAGGATGTGGCAGAGGGGATGACTTTTTTGACCTCTTAGCCTGGACCTTTGGCCTCTGCTGGTCCTTTAGGACTTCCCTCCAGGCCCCCAGTTCCTGTACTGGACACTGGGAAAAGCCGGCACCAAGGAGGTTCAGGAGGCAGTCTGTCACACCAGTGGGCCTGACTGGGTTCTCTCCCAAAGAGTCAGGGCCTGGCCCGGTGGGTTCTGGGGCTTCCATAGGGAGAGCAAGCAGGAGGTGCAAAAGCAGACTTAGTACATTATGATTGGAGGGTTGAGTGACATCACTGGTTGCCAAGGAAGCTTAAACATCTCAAGTTACATTGCAAAACCATTGGTTACATAAGCTTGGTTTACACAAAGGAAGGAATGTTCTATTATCAGGCTTGTTGGGACATGGATATGTCCACTTGGGCTTCCTCAGCAGGCTTTTATTTAAAAATTTAATTTCCCTTTCACTGAGATAGGTGACCTTACCCCTTCTGCCCTTGTTTCTGGGCCATCTGTTATCACACGTGCATTGAAGGCCAGGGCCTGGCCACTTCGCTGCTTGGGATGCTGGGACTCCGGGGCAGAGCAGAGCTGCCAAAACCTTCCTGAGATGTCCTAGAGGGCCGCTCCTGGGCCCTGGCTGCCCTCACCCATCTGGGACCGGCCACAACCTCTCTCCTCACAGTAGGGTCTGGTCTGGATGGCCCTCCCTGCATGGGGCCACTAGGTCCTTTTGCTGTTGCCATGGCTACTGTGGGGTCAATGTTGCAGAGTTCTCAGCAGGCAACAAGCTGGCAGTCACCCCACAGCAGTCTTGGGGGCCAGCATCATCCCCCTTGGTGCTGGGATGCAGAGGCTGTGCCAGGGACTCCAGGCCCCTGGGGCAGCTCCAGGGAAAGGGACCCTCAGAGTCCGCCCTGGGGTGCAGGTTCAGGAGATGTGGTGCTGGGCAGAACTTCCACCCTGACCCCTCAGAGTCCCGGGGATGCTGCTGTGATCAGGAGGCTGCGTCCATGAAAGCTCTAAGGCGGAGCCACTGCTGCCCCGCTGTGCCCTGAAGTCTGAGCGACCATCAGGAAGGTCCCACAGTCTGCTGTGCCTAGAAGCTGCCTGCTCACCTGGGCCCAGCCCCTACTCATCACCCAGGCTGCTCACTTTACTGAAAAGTCAATAAATCACAACTGCAGGAAGGTTGCCCTACGCTTCATGGGTTGTGGTGTTTGGCACACCAAGCCAGGCTTGGAGTGATGGGGTCCAGGGACCAGCGTGTCCTAGGCTATCTCTGGGTGACCCCTGAGATCAGGCACATGCAGGGGGTGCTGAACAGCCACGGCTGCTCCTGGGGTTGTGCAGTGCAAGAGCAAGAATCATCCAGGCCCCTCCCTGGATCATGATGTCATCATCACTGCCATCACCATTAGTGCCTCACAGCACCATCACCACTGTCACCATCACCAGCAGCAGCAGCAGCAGCAGCAGCAGCAGAGAAGCATTAACAGAGTTCCTGTGGTGCCCGGCTCTGTGATGACCACAGTGGCCTCTTGTAACCTGTGCAGCAGCCTAGGACCAAGTTCTGTTGTTAGGGGAGATCTGGGCTTAGAAATTGAGTCACTTGCTTGGGGTCCCCCTCACCTGTGTGTGCTGCTGTGGCCAGAGTCCACCTCAGAGCTGGGACTCTAGTCCTTGGCGTCAATGGAACCCATGGTCTGAGAGCTCTGAGGAAGGTGGGTGCTGGCCCTGCTCTGTGACTTGCTGTGTGACCGCGGGCAGGTTTATCAGCCCTTCTGAGCCACCATGGATGGTCATCTGCACCCCTTCCCGGAAGGACTCCACACCGGTTGGCCTTCTTTCCACTGACCACCAGGTGGCAGCAGAGGCCATGCGGATGCTCGAGACTAGGCCCGCCAGAGACTGGAGCATCTGCCTCAAAGGTCACCTTCAGGGATGCAGGGAAGGGAACCAGCTCAGAAGCACCCTAAGAGGCCTGACTCTGAGTGCTTTGGAGCTGTGTGATATGGATCCAGGGGCCCTGCCCTGACCAGCAGGGAGCCCGGACCTGGGACCTGGGATGTAGAGCAGGGTGCAGAGCACACGGCAGGCGTCTCCTTGCGATGCTGTGCTGTGCTTTCCTTTGCTGTGAGACTGGCTGGAAAAGAGCGGTCAGGGCAGGTGGGCAGCAGGTTGGTGCTGTGGGGCCAGCAGCTGTGGCAGGGCCCCTGCAGAGGGACATCAGCCTGCGGGGTCCCGGTGGCCCCGGCTCTTCCTGTGAGGACTCTGACTTCCCTCCTGCCCACAGCCACAGCGGCCTGAGTGAGGTAGGGCACGAAAGGTGCTGGCAGCCGGTGGACACAGGTGCAGCATGGGCTGGGTGTCCTGAGGCCGAGGTCGTGTAGGGGCTGGGCAGAGGCCTCCTGCTCGAGTGCCAGGGGCTCCAGGCATGGCAGGGTCAGGGCCACCGGCTGGGGATAGGGCTGTGCCCCGAGATCTGGCCGCCTGCTCTCTGCCCCTAGCACGCTCCCCAGCTTCAGAGCAGTACGCAGGAAGTATTAGGGGAGCTCTGACCCCACTGTGTGGGGGTAAGGGTGGCTTGGCACAAGGCCTTATGGGCATCAGTTGCCAGGGTCTGGTGCTATTTGTCGATAGCCAGGAGCTGGTAGGTCAGTCCCAATGATCTGCCTGGACTTTTCCTTACCAGCAAGGACTTTTCCACAGAAGGGTGTATTTCTAGGTTCTGTGTTTTGTCTTTTTGAGACACGGTCTCACTGTGCAGTTCAGGCTGGCCTTGAACTCACTGTGTAGCCCAGGCTGGCCTCAGCAACTCTTCTACCAGAAGGACAGGTGTGCACCACCACGCCTGCTATTTCTAGGCTCTGGAGTTGAGAAGTCAGACTGCCTTCCAGGGGTTCCTGGGGTCAGGTTTTCAGGAGACAGAGACCTTGTGAGACTTTTCCTCATAAGGGACAGCATGCATGCTGTGTGTGCACACACCTATGCCCGTGCACACGCAGTGCACATGCACAAGCACAAGCACATGCACAGTGCACATGCACACATACATGTACTTTTGCACACACACATGCACACTCTGTAGTGACCACGGCCAAGCTCTGTGGCTGGCCTGTCGTTGCTCTGACTTCTTTCTGTCTGATTTGTACCTGAGCTTGAAATGTACAGTCAGCCAATCCCGTGTCCTTGGCGTTGTCCCTCCTTCAGGGAAAGCTTTGCCTCATGCTCAAAGGCACTCCAAGGTCACCAGGAAGGCAGAGGTTGAGAAACAGGGGCGGACGCCACCTGAGCCCCTGAGCCACCTGGCCGCTACTTCCTGGGACCGGGAAATCAGTTTACCGATGTGGCTGGGAGCATGGCCGTCAGGGTCTGCAGGACAGGGCTGGCCCAGCAGGCATCTCAGGCTGGGTGTGGCGATGGCTGACTCCCATGGGGCACAGGGACACCATGGGGGGAGGGTGCAATGGATCTGAGGGGGCCAGGAGGGAAGACAGGAGATCCCAAATTCTGTTCCTGGTGGAAAGATCACTGGGACCTTCGGCCACAGGCGGGTTTCAGAAGGTGATGGCAGAAGGGTCCAGCTCTCGGGGTGGAGCTTAGGGTGATTGTTCTGCTGCGTGCTGGGCTTTGGGGCGCAGCACCAGCTGTGTGTCTGGCCCTCCCCCGGTCCCCATTCCCTCCTCACATACCTCAGCTGCTGGGCAGTGCGATTCTGTGGGGAGGCAGTCCTGGTCCCCGGTGGTGAGTGTGTGTCCCAGGGTCACCACAAGCTGGTGGCATAAAAACTGCAGAAATTCACTGGGAGGCAGGAAGTGGAAACCAAGGCTACTGCAGGGCTTGGTGGCCCCGAGGGTCCAGGGCTGACTCTTCCTGTCTCTCCTGCTCCAGGGAGCCTGGAGCAGGCTGGTGCAGCCCCTCTTCCTGTGCAGATATGGTTGCAGGGCTCAGGGTGAGTGGCCTGGACCCTTTGTTATCAGCAAGGGCTTTTCCTTCTCCAGGCATGCTGCCAGCTTCCGGGAGCAGAATTTAGACCCTCTTCTGGGGGACACAGTCCACACAAAGAGTGCTATCCCAAGTCACCCAGTCCTTGTCTCCAGGATGCTTCTTGTACACCATTCTGTGTTCCTCTGCAGAAGCTCCTGTGGCTGGCAGGACAGATATTGACCCCTTTTAAAGATGAAGAAACTGAGGCCCAGATATGCATAAAGGTAGGGTGAGAGGCCTAGTTGGGAGCCCAGCTTGGCCCAGCCTGACCAAGCTGGGGCCAAACACC